ATTCTATTTACATAATATAATTATTATTTTTTATTTAAAATACTATAGATTTATATAATTGTAAGTGAGTGTTATTGAAATTACTTAATATAAAATTATAAAACTACTATTTACATGATAATTTTATTAATAATTTTATATAATTAATTTTTTAACCTTTTTTATTTCTTTTAATTTTTTTTGATTTCTTTGAATTCACTTTTATCTTTCATATTAATAATACCAATTATCATTAATAATTATTGATATTTTTATTATCTTTTTTATTTGATTTACAAATTTAAGTATTAAATTATATTATGAATTATTAAGTATTTTTATATTTGAACTTTTACATATTTTATTTTAGACTTATTTCATCATTAAACAACCTTAACAATTTATTTTAAAATATTTACATAATTAATATTTATTTTTATTAATTATATAAATACACAAAAAATTGTTAGGATCTTACGATATTATTTATGATCTTACGATTTACGATTTTATTTTTCTTTTTCGATTTTAAGTAAAATCTCGATTTTAATAATTTTATTGTATTTTTAACTTTTTTTTAACTTTAAAAAAATCTTAAACAGTAAATTGAAAAGTTTTAAATTTATACTTTTTCTAAACTTCTTTTTTACTCATTTTTTTATTTCTAAAAGTAATTTTTAAAATTTTTTTATTAAAAATTTAAATTTATCACTCATAAATACTATTAAAAAAAAAGTCTTACGAGCTCCACCAAATATGCTCTTAAGGTGTCTCTAACAGTAGCCGTGGAATAAGGGTTAATTTGCAACCATACGATGATGAGCTGAGGCCTGATTTTCTTCTGTTTTTAGTTGAAGGGCTAATTTGTTACTATTCAATGAGTACAAGGGCTAATACACCCTTTTTGCCACCAATAGGACAAACCGAAAGTGGTAGGACACTTTTTTTGTTTTTTCCCCTTTCAAAAGCAAGTGTACTTCTGGCAAAGGTTAAAAAAAAAAAAAATTGTGTACTTCGGGCGTACTAAAGTCTTCTCAAAATTTATTATCTTTCTGGGGTTTCATTCTGGCAATGAAGAATGAAACATGGAGGTTTGGCGAGCACATCCCCATTTATTAAAAAAACCGAGTCTGTTCCCCAACAAGCTCTCCTAACTCCTAATACTCGGTTTTCAGTCTTCTAAAACAGGACCCACGACAACCCATAATTGACTGATAAGGTGTAAGGCATTTCCTCTTATTGTTATCGTTATTTTGTTGGTACAGTGAGTGAGCGCGGCTATGGCAATACTAAAATGTTAAACTCACATAAATATTATTATTTACTATATAAATAGTTAAGTATAATATTTAAAATAAAAAAATATTTCTTAATTAAGTTTTTTTTAAAATTAAAAAATTTATAAAGTTATCTTATTTTAATAAATTTTATTCAAAATTAAAATTAAATTTGTTTTAATTTTTCTATAATA